ATAAAAATATTTCATTTCTTCCGTTCTTTCTAAATTACGTAATCTACTACTATTGTTATTCGATATATTAGTATTAAGTAATCATTCAACCAAAGTATTAACTAGTCGAATAGGAGATAGGCTTAACTACAATACTGATATTAATAGTAACAATAATGTTTATATTACTAGCAATAACCCCTCTTAAATCGAATATAAAAGTTATAGCTTTGCATATTTAATAAACATCTGCTACTAAAGCCTCAACTTTGTACGCTTTTGCGTTTACTATTACGGCGCTGGCAAATTACTACATCACTAGGCTATGTTTAAAAGATACAAGTAACTGAAGCTGGCAATTCGGTCGCTCAAGTGGTCTTGTATAGTTGTGATAGCAGTCGAGAGGCACAACTACAAGACTGTTATTACATTTACTACGTAAATACCAATTTCAAACTATATTCTAACTTAAATCTTTGTAGTTTCTTAAAGTACGAGCGAATGATTTATATGGAATAAGTATTTTACTGTTAATGCTAGCGTAAATAGCGCCGGACCGGATTTATCAAATTTAATAATGATAAAATAACTACATATGTAAAGTTCTTTTAATATATATAATATAATAAAGATAAAAAGAATAATACGGACTTTTAACTATTATTATTATAAAATATGAAATTGTTATTTTATTTCTAATATCCTTTGTTATCTTCTTAACACCTAGCGTCTCGTCCTTTACAAAATTCTACTTTAAATATACTAATGCTACCTAAGCCTCCTTAACTGTAACTAGCTACTCATTTAACACTTATTGCGGTTAATGATACAAATGTAAATATAAATCCATAATAGCTGGAATTTGATATTTTTTGATTCGAATTAAAAAACTTAAAAATATTAGAAATATATATTCTATTCCAGTCTCCTATTTCAATTATACTACCCTTTATCAAAAACTGGATACAACTTATACCGACAATAGAAAATTATTCTTAATTACAACAAAAGTCACATCAATATGATAAATAATATTATATTTAATATTGAAAAAAAATATTTGAACTTGATACTAGAAGAAATAATTAAATACATATATTCAGTACAGTATATATGAGTATTATATTAATAAGTGAAAAGAATCAAAATTAAATAGCGTACCTTCATACTCCGCTAATAAATTCATAAATTTTAATAATATTAATTTAATTTACAAGCGCTTTTACTTATTGAAGGATAATTAATCGCTTAAATCTAGAAATTCATTAACATCTACCTTATTAAGTAAGCTTAATACTGGTATCATAAATATATTATTAATTTTCTTCGAAATATTAACTTGATTTACAATCGCTTACCTCTTCTACCAAAGAAACTTAACATTATTATTCTCTACTTAAAAAATACTAGTAATCAAAACCAAGTTCAATAATAACTTTGTCGGAGCCATAATATTACTAGGCAGAATATTCAAATATAATTAAACTATTTAAAGAAGGACTATCCTAATTACTATAATATTATTATTAATTATAGCTATCTTTCCTAGTTTCCTGAATAAAATAATATGTTTAATTAATCGAATTTATATATTGTCAAAAAGAATATTAAAATTAACAAAAAAAAACGAAATTAACAAAGTTAAAGATAAAAAAGGTACAGCTATATTGAATTTTATAGCTATTTAAATAAAATCAAACAAACTAATTAACTAATTGAATAATAAGAAGTAAAGATATAAATAATATGATAGGCTGGGGTGCATTAGGAGAATGTTCTGCTTGCAAGGCAAACTCGAAGGTGAGTTTCTTGCAAGGCAGAACTCGGAATGCACACTATATAGCCAATGCCAACCTGTGACATCAGTAGATTCTTCCTGGCCCCCGGAAGACGATGTTTTACCAAACAGCTTGTCCAAGCCATCCAGACCGCCCGGACCGTCAACTCAGAGTGTTCACCAGTCAAGGAACGAGAACAGTTCATGGGAATTGTAGGGGAACCAATGTTTCAAACCAGCCGACGACTGTGCTCTAGGAAGGCTTGCTTAAAGGGCTGCATGTCTCCTACCGTGAGACCACGTGTGAGAGACACACCGGTAACAAAAAGGAAAAAGTTGGAAGTGTGGAAATTAAAATAGATGCATTGTCCCCTGGAACCCGTCATGAGTCCTGCATAACTATAGACCGAGATGAGAAAAAAGCCCATTCTACACTACACCATGTCCTACACTCTCTCAACGGCAACGCCTGATTCGACGATTGCTCACCTCCCTCATCCCAGCACCTTTCAACCATTGCCAAAGTGATCGACACCAACTCGAGTGTTCTAGTGCTTCTTTGTTCGGCGCCTTCGCTCGGGAGAAGCTGCCAGTTGATGCTGTGCAACCTATGTGCTCCTCGTGGACATGAAGCAACGCTAACCTAGACCCTACTTTTCCCTCACTCCTCAACAACAAGTGTGGCCGAGTGTAAACAGCCAGAGAGGGGGAAGGGCTCCCGTCGATATGCACCTGAAAAGCAGGTAGCCGTGGGCGGTTTGGGTAATTTCCCCCCCCCCTCCCCTTGGCTGGGTTGGTCGCCCCTGTCTTTACCGGTATTCCACATGTCCTCAAGTTGCCATGGACCGGGTTCGGGGGGCGGTCTCACCGGAGTTCGGAGAGCCCTGGCTAGGGTTCTCCCTGAGGAATCTTGGACTCGGAGCGGTTTGGTTGTTCTGCTGCTTCCCTATAGGGTGAGTATGGGGCGGAGGAGGAGATAGAACTTGACCTTGGAAGTAAACTTGAAAAGGTCAAGCTTGGAATTAGGACCCCTTATCTTTTCTCCTGTTAATCCATCTGTCCGAATATCACGTTTTTACATATTCGTAAAGTTCCCCTTGCGAACCGGTTCGTCCCTCCATCTATCTATCCATCAATCCTCTTGTCACTTCTAGCTAGCGGAACCGGTCGTCGTTGACATTTCCCCTCATCTTGTACCCCCATTTTCTTTCTATCTATATGGAAACGCACAACCTAGCACAAGCTCTCGTCCCTTCGTTACCTATCCCCACTGCACTGCACAACTTGATCCGCATAGCTATTGGTGTACCTTTTGGGTTCGGACTAGCTAGCTGCGCTTCCTTTTCCTTCCTCCTCCCATTTCCCCCCCTCCCCCCCGCGGCTAGCTACTTGCACATGGAGTTGGTCCAGGTAATTAGGTATGTGAAGGATCGAGCCAATCGATAGAATTGCCGTAGATGGATAGACTACACAGTATATGAGGAGAGAAGGAGAAGGAGGGGCAGAAGAGCTCTAAATGAAAGTACCAGGCCTACGCTTCTGCAACCCGCTGCTCACAAAACAGATGGCGGTTTTGCATACGTTAGAGAGAATATTGAGACCCTTTTCCAACCAAGAGTTTATTTACCTACCCTTGTAACCGCCATCCCATGATATGATATGCCGTACAATACCATGCATTTTCTTTTCTCACCTCACAGCTGTCTTGCCTTGCCAAGAAGAAAATGGTAGGCGGGTAGGGGTTTCTTCCTACACTACACTTTCCCCGGTTATCTCCTGTCCTGTGTGACTCGAACTTTACTTAGCGTGACTATGGTACATGAGAAATTTGGGCAACAGAACAAACACATATTCTGGAGCTTAGGAGTAAGTAATTTCTGGTCAGGGAAGCTCGAGGCTTGATGCATGAGACAGACATGTGTAGTGTTCTGGTACAAAAAAGCCGGGAGGTAGACTTGATAGGGTGACGATCGTTCGTTTCGTTTTTTTTTTAAAAAAAAATTCTCTTGTTGGATACTACAAAGGTCACAGAAAGCATGGCAAGCTCGATCTGTGACCGGTAAGAACTTAATTGGCAAGGAGGAGCAGTGAGTTGATGATTTCGGAGTGTTTTGCGTGCCAGTAAAACGTCCATATGGCCATGCCAGCGGCGGGAGTCTCTTGAAGCTGAGTGTCACACAAAAGGGTCTGGACTAAACATGATGAGCGTCTAACATTGGATAGGACAGACCCTACAGACCCTTTCCCGTGTCTACGCCATACAGCGTTACAGCCACCTTCGATACCCACATGCTGACATCCATCCCCCATTCCCAAAAGCTTTCGCCGTGCGATTGGAGTAACAACTCAACATGTCTACCAATCGTGAAACAAACACGATGTGTATGGCTTGCCGGAGCTTGCTGCACTGCTACCTTTTCTACTTCCCCCCAATGGCCACACCCACACCCAACTACACAACCACGACATGACGGACGGACGGCACGCGCGAAACAGAGACACACGGGAACGGAACCTTGGACTGGTTACTGACGTCGAGTCCATTGAGTCCTCCCTCCCAGTTGGAAGTAACCGACAACCGACAAGCAAACCCCAGGTTCGTTTCCCAAAATGATAAGTAGTACGTCAGTCCCCGTCTTTTCTTGGGTAGAAATTTTCATGGACAATCCTTGGACTCTGAGACAAAGCTAAATTGTTCTTTGTATCTTCCTTTCCATCTTCCATGCTTCGACGCCTTTTTGGTTGGGTTTGTGGATTATCTGCCTATCATCGCATTAAGCTTAAGCACGACTGTTGCACCGGAGAGAATTAGACGCTGGTTTTGTCTCAGCCAGTTGTGCTCTTCGATTATCGGTTATACCGAACTAAGGGACGGCTTGGGTCGGTATATATGCGGCGGCGGTTGCTGTTCGAAAACGTTGGTTACTGTTTTTTAGGAGACGTCAACGAATGTTTATAGAAAAGGGTTCGAGAACCAAGCGGGAAATATTCCACCTAGACGTCATCAAGCTAGACTACAACCACATTGTCAAACCTTGGACTCTCTACATACCAACGTAAGTACAAATCCTTTGCTAACCTTAACCACCTCACAACATGCATCTAACCACTTGGCTATTCTAGCATCCGCAATCCCACATATCTCTTTTTCAACCACCAATTTGGTTGACCACCAGAAACACAGCACAGCACAGCACAGCACAGCACAGCACAGCACCAAAAACCAAAACAAAAAAGACCAGAAATGTGCACCTACAAAACCCACATCCGCGTTTGCCGCCGCTGCAGCAGCGAGGACACAGTCCTCATCTCCGAACAACTGTGTTCCATAGCCAAGAACAGCGGCAGCGGCATCTTTGGCTCCTGCCTCTCTGGCGTTTCCAGTCAACGAGATCAGACGGGTTATAAGTGCTGGCAATGCCAGGACGAAACAACACCCCCGACATTTAGGTCTCGGAGCAGTAGTGGTAGTGGTAGCAGCATAGCCGGAGGAGGAAGGAGGAGGGGGAGCAGTGTTAGCGTACCCATTGGACTGCAGGGTGTGAACCATATGTATGGATATAACAGCAGCGATAACAACCACAACAACCACTTTGGAGTCGTAGGGGTCAATAGGGGACAGCGGCAACAACAGCAGAGGCGGGTCTCAGGGTCAGCACAGGGACAACAAGCAAGGGAATATGTGCCAGTACCGGTATCATCACCAGCACCAGCACCAGCACCAGCACCAGCACCAGCACCAGCACCAGCACCAGAGCAACAGGGACAACAGCAGGATTTGGAGAGGAGGTTGAGGAGGATGGGAAAGATGAAGGCTGATTTGAGGAGGTATGATGGGCGATTCATATAGATGGGTTTCTCTTGCGTGTAGTGTATTGCTGGCATTGGCCATGGCGTTCTTTTGTTGAAGTCTTGAAGAACTCAAAGGAAGGCACTCGATCCCTGGACGGGAAGCAATCCAGATGCTGAGGGACGGGAGACGGGAGTGGGTCTGGACCCTGAAAATGCTGGAGGCCGAGAAGGTAGAACAGCTAGAGGTTCTGAGTGTGTTAAGGATATTATGGCTTTGATTAAACGGGTCATAAACGACCGACCATGAGGTCTGAATAGAAATCGTTACAATTCTTGATTAACAATTAATTATGCTCTGGAGGTGAAGTGAGAAGAGAAGAAGTCGCTTGTCGAATAGTGTACCAAGGAGAACCTACAGTAACCTTCAACAACTGAAGACCAAAGTTTGAGCGGGCCCCAAGCGTCATTGTGGGGGGAGCTGCTACCACGCTCGCCACGAGAAGCTTATCGGCTAACGCTAATCCTTATCGGTGGGGATTATTATCGATTGAACCAGGGGGTCCCATGGTCTGTGCTTTAGAATTTTCTGCGCCAGCGACAGAGCTTCTGAAGATTTCTGGGGAGTGGGGACCAGCTGCTCTCAGAGGTTCGTGGAGCTCTGAGCGGATCCAGTCGAGCGGCCCATCGTGGATTGTCATCGAATTTCTCCCATATCTCCCCCGTTATCTCTTCGTCTCTTCACTCTCATCACTCACCCAGCTTTAGCTTCCGTCCTCGACAACACACTCACTCCTCTTCCCAACGCGCAACAACAACACGATCAGATATATAGAAAAGGTCAACAACCCCCAGCACATCCGTCAAAATGATGTCTCTTCGTGCTGTCGCGCGCACCGCCGCTCCCCGCGCCCTCCGCGTCGTCTCTGCTTCTCCCATCACTCTCGGCCGCGCCACCCTCCGCGCTACCAGCAACGTCCTGAGGACTCAGCTCCCCCAGAAGGCTTTCTCTACCACTGTCTTCCGCGCTTCCACCACCGAGATTGACGCTGAGCTCTCCGACAAGCTCTCTACCGAGATTGGCTATGAGCAGGACATTGCCTCCAACGAGCCCGTTCCCGCCACCGTCAAGGACTTCCTTGAGAACGGCCCCTTTGAGGTCGTCGACACCCCCGGCAAGGAGGATGTTGTCCTGAAGCGCACCTTTGGCAACGAGCAGTAAGTTGAATCCCTTCCTACCATGAGTCCCATCAAGAACCAAGCGCTGACCCCGTATACCCCAGGATCACCATCTCCTTCTCCGTCGCCGACCTCCAGAACTACGAGCCTGGCATGTTCGACGAGGACCCCGCTCTCGGTGACGAGGAGGGTGCTCAGAACGAGGAGGACATGGGTGAAGACGGCGGCGCTCCCGTTCGCCTCAACATTGTCATCGAGAAGCCCAACAAGGGTGCCCTCAACATCGACGCCGTTGCCCAGGACGGCTCCATCGTTGTCGACAACATGTTCTACTACCACGACGCCAAGCTCGCTCACGGTGCTACCGCCGAGACCCAGCACGCTTCCCAGGCCGTCTACCCCGGCCCTCCCTTCGGTACCCTTGATGAGGATCTCCAGGTCCTTATGGAGCGTTACCTCGAGGACCGTGGCATCAACCAGACCCTTGCCCTCTTCGTTCCCGACTACCTTGACATGAAGGAGCAGAAGGAGTACCTCAGGTGGCTCAACAACCTCAAGGGCTTCGTCGATGCCCAATAAATGGGGAGAGGTGAGATGCTGTGACGAGGACGGAAAAGTCAAAAAAGGGGAGGAAAAGGAGAGAGGATTTGAAGCTGCGGGACGGCTTTTTGGACCCGCAGCTGATGTATGACATGTACCTGTAATTATATCCCACGTTTTATGTCACGACTCAATACCAATTTGTATAATGCGAGAAACCTGAGGGGAGCCCGGTCATTGTACACCGATGAAGCTGCTGTTTGCGAGGGCCAGAGTCCAAGTGGACAAGACACTTTGTAACAGAGTAAATCACCAAAATGTGACCGCAGAGTGTCCAAGTCATTTGAAGTGGCATGGTAAAGCTTGTTCCTTCCATTTTCAAGTCATGTACCCCTGGATGCCAGCGCGCCTGTCATTGGTCGAACGAGGTTGCCTGACTTTCAGCCCACCTGAATCGCATTTCTTCAACCTCGAGGTCTTACATCTTTTGACAGAACATCCTCCACTATCACACTTTGCTTGTGATATCCCCTCTTTTTTCATCAGGCGCAGCGCTCGTTTCCGAGGATTCCGGTTACACACTCACAACTATCGCCAGCGAATCACGCAGTCACTGAGACTTAAATATTCTCATTGTGGGGGACAACTTTCCTCAAATACAATAAAACATCAAGACGAGCAAGCAGTCAAGACAGTGGCTCAACACACAGCCTTCGACAAAGACCACTAACACAAAAGCCCTGATATGAATTCAGTATGAGTCCCGATAACTCCAACCGGGCCCAATACAGCGGCTTGCAACAAAAAGACGACCAAGAATATCAAGAATATCTCGCCTTTGCAAACTCATCCTCATCGGGAGCCAACAACGACGACCACCACCACCAACCGGACGCAGAAGATGAAGAAGCCCAACTGCTTACAACCGAAGATTACATTGAGGAATTCGAACTCGACGAGACCCATACCACCACGACGCAGAAATCCAACCCCGGCCGTCTCCACCATGGGTCCAAATCCAAATCCCAACTACCAAACCCATTCCGCCGCCTCCTCTCCTTCGTCTCCGGCTCCTCCCACCCCGAACGACAAACTCTCACCTCATTTCTCTTTCCCAAGATCCAGTCCCTCCCCCGCGTCACCCTAGAACACCTCTTGCCCCACCAATGGCAGCGCACCGTCCTCTTAACCATCGGCCTGACCCTCTGGCTCACCATCTTCTCGCTCTCTCTGGTCCATTCCAAAGGCACCCTTCTGGATGGAAACGGCGAGGTGGTCAGACATCTAGACTGCATCTCCACGCTCTGGGGACCGGGGAACGAGTGCGGCGTGGATGGCGAGCGGTGCAAACCGTTTGGAAACGTCAGCTTTGCGTTTCGGTGCCCGGCAGATTGTAGGCAGGTCAAGGTACTGAATCCGAGATGGGTGGGCGGGGAGGAGGTGGTTTATAGGCCTTGGGTTATTGGTGGTGGGGAGGTTTCTGCTGACGGTTCGGGGACGGTGACGGGGACGGGAACTGGTACAGGTGCGGACACAGGCACGGGGGTATACAGAGGCGACTCGTTCATCTGCCAAGCAGCCATGCACGCCGGTGTTATTTCCGACGCCCGCGGCGGCTGCGGCGTGGTCTCGCTAGTCGGGGAGTACTACTCCTTCTTCCCCGGCCGTGGAGGCGAAGACATTACAAGTCTCGGCTTCGACTCCCATTTCCCCATGTCCTTCACTGTCCATCCCGCCTTAACCGGCGACGGTCAATGTCCCCAAATGGAGATGAAGACGGCTCGATCGTTGACGCCGACGATATTGCTCACTTCGCTGGTATCGGTATTAAGCACCTCCGCCACCACCTTGTGGTTCACCTCCTTCGTCACCATCTTTATCCACGTCGGCCTGGTCTCGGACCCGCCCAACGTCGACGGCCCGTCAGACACCATCATCCCGCAGCTGATATCCATCTTGTTCGAGCGCTTGCTGCCAGCCACTTTCGTCTCCGCCGTCCTCTTCTGGACTTGTTCGAGATCTACAACGCTCGCCGCCATCCCCGCCTCGGCCAACATCGAAAAAACCGTCCTCTGGCTTGGTGCACTCTGGATAGGCGCCCTATCCAATTTTACTTTGGAGTCCTGGATCCCCCTCTCCCGCTTAAGCGCGCACGACCTGCGCTCCCAACCGGGCGCCGTGCTAGCGCTCGTCGCGATCCTGGCTATTATTACGGTAACGGTGGCCTACCAGGCTTATTCCTTCTGGCTTGAGCGGCGCGCGCTTCCCTACCTGGCGCTCTACAGCTTCATTTTGGGCGGGATTGTGGTGGGGGCGATAGTTTCGATCGCGGGTGTGGGAACGTTGGAGTTGAGGATCCATCACTACGTCCTTGCCTTGCTTTTGCTGCCGCTGACGAGCATACAAACGCGTCCGGCGCTGGTATACCAGGGGCTGCTGCTGGGGTTGTTCATCAACGGGATTGCACGGTGGGGGTTCGACTCGGTTATACAGACGGCGGAGGCGTTGAGGGGCGGTGATGGGTTATTTGGGACGAGCTTGGTGCCGGTGGTGGATGGACAACCTTTGGTTTATCTTAGTAGTGAGGTTTCGGAGTTGTGGTGTATTGCATTCAAGTGGAAGGGGATTAATGAGACGTTGGCGGCGTTGCTGCCGAAGGTAGGGGAAAAGGGGAGGGAAGAAGCGGACCGGTTGCAGGGGGTGAGTGTTATGGTTAATGATGTGGAGAGGCACAGGAGGTTCTTTGCTGAAGAAGCGCTGGAGGATCAGGTGTTTAGGTGGGAGAGAGATCCAAAGGTGGTGAAGACGCCCGAGTATTTTCAGTTTGCCTTCTTGGGCGAGGATGGCAGAAGTATGGATTACTCTGGGGTTGGAACGTGGTTCGGGAATGGGACTTGGAGCTCTGGTCCGGGGTTTTATTGATTATGTAGGTCTTTTTAGCAGTTAGCGGAATGTTCAAAAGAAGTGAAGAACAAAGCAACAACCCCTTGCTATACGCCCCAGACCCCTATGTTGACGTCCTACTCCCGTCCTCCCCTTTAATTATCGCATTGCCCTCCTCCAACAATCTCCCCACATCCTCCCCTCCCACCCCCCTCTCCTTCCACCTCTCCAACAACCGCCTCGGCATCTCCCACCCCCTCGCCGCCTCCTCCTTCTTCCCCTCCTTCACCAACGCCCTCAACCGCTCAGGAACCCTCACCACCTCCCTCGCCAACTCTCTCGTCCTATCCCTCCTCTCCCTTCTACTCCTCCGTTCCTCCTCATCTTCAATCCCTTCCAGTATATCCCTATCCTGCTCCTGCTCCATCTCCCTCCGTCTCACAGCACTCTCATCCCCCTCCGACAGTCGTTGCCTCAACTCGCCTCTAATCCCACTAGCAAGCTCATAGACCTTTCCCAACACAGCATCCAGCGTGCTAGCCATGGGATCTAGCCTATCCCCAGTCGACGAGTTCGAGTCGAACATGCTCGTCCGCATCTTCCGTATGGTTTCCGTCGCGCTGATCAGCTTCGAGTAGTTGTCGTATACGAGCGCCTTCTTCTCGGCATCCAAAGCGCGGATCTCCTGCAATATGCGGGCGTAGGTTTTCAAGAGCTCAGCTAGCGTTGACGATTGCAGCAGCTCGGACAGGTACGGTTGTGCGGAAAATTCTGGGGAGTCGAGGACGGGCGAGGCGGGGATGGAGTCGAATGACGATAGCGATTGTTGGAAGCCATTGTTGGATGATGATGATGGGTCGGGCGATGGTGGCGTCGAGGTTACTTCGAGTATCGGGGTCGAGGTCCCCCCCGTTCCAGAGGCCGCTTGGGCTTTTTTGAGGTTGTAGTACTCGCGGAGGGCGGCGCGGTTGGCGCGTTTGCCGGCGGCGGCAACGGGGGCTGCGGAGGGGTTGGGCGAGCTCGAGGCGGATCGGGGCACGTCCAGCGATGGGCGCGTGGAGGAAGTGGGTGTTGTGTTGGAGTTGGAGAGGGCTTGGGAGGAGTTGATACGCCGCGAAAGAGGCGTGCCTGTGTCGCGCGGGGTGGCTATTGTTGACATGTTGTTGGATGTGTTTGGCTGGATGGCAACCGCTTGAAGCCAGAAATGGTGGTGTGAATGGCGGGGTGGAGGTGCGCGTGGCCGGTTAGGAGTCGATAATGGATAGATATCTCTCAAAGACCGTTGGAGTTGGAAATGACCGAGATGTATCTGTAACCGCTGCGTCGGTCGAGGGGTATCGTGAAGCTGGAGATGAGATGGAAAGAAAGTGGAAGTTTGGTAATGAAATTGGCGATTCTGCAGCGGGAACCGAATGGGATGACGTGGAGCTCTGACCAACGTTATCCCCTGACAGCATTCAATCGGTTGCGGCTGAAAAGGCCACCCCCCAGCGTCCATGCTGCAGTGGAACCGCACTAAAGCTCAGGGCAATTCAGGGCTACGTTAGCGCGGCAGGCGCGTCACAGCGGCAGGTCCCGACCCGTCCATTCCCCAGGGCCCTTCCCCGCACTGCAGCCGTAAAGGTTCTCAAGAATGCGGTGTTCCACCCGATCAACAATTCTTCTCGTAATTTTCACCTTACATCAACTTTTCTTGCCCCGATTCATTCCCAAAAACCTTCATCAGCCAACGGAAACCCGGCACCCAATTCGAAGAACACGACATGAGACGATACATTAAACCTATACAGTCATCATCACTGACAAGACCCTCAGATAGCATGGACTGCAACCTCTCTGACATACAACAACAACAACAACAACACCCAACAACAAAACAACAACAACATCTAGGCTCGCGTGGCATTGTTCCTAAACATCCACTGACAAGACCCTCAGATAGCATGGACTGCAACCTCTCTACACAACAACAACAACAACAACACCCAACAACAAAACAACAACAAAATACAACAACAACAACAACAACACCCAACAACAAAACAACAACAACATCTAGGCTCGCGTGGCATTGTTCCTAAACATCCACTGACAAGACCCTCAGATAGCATGGACTGCAACCTCTCTAACAACAACAACAACAACAACAACGACTGAGTCAACTTACTCCAAACCATCCCGACAACATTCAATGGCATCCGAGACACACAACCGTTGATCGACAGGATCGACCATGAACAGGTCAACAATGACTTGGCATTGGTGACTGTGGATTGCTTTCCCGAATTTGAGATGATCCCTGAAGTACTGAAAATAACATGACTTTCTCCAGGTTGTAGCTAACGGTTCCAATGGTTCGAATCGTTCACTCCTCCCCATCCAGAAGAGACGTAAACTTCAAGTACCTCTTATCCGTCTTCCCATCGAAAGCCTCCTCCCGGTCGGTCCCAAAACTAGCCGCCTTCCACTCCGCGGCCATCTTCACCATCTCCTCACACTTCTGCACCACGCTCTCATACGCATCCGATCCCAGCAGCACCCTGGCCACCCACTTCTTGTCATTCACCACTCCCTCCGTCTTCACAACATCAACAATCGCTGTCGCAACCCTACCCAAATGTCCCGGCATGAATTTCATGGGATCGCTCATAAATATGCCTCCCACCTTCGCCAACAGCGGGCCATACGCATTCGGCAGACTGGTCCCTTCAGTGCCGAAAGCAGAATCCGCCTCGGACCGTGGTTGGCCGAGATTGGTAGGGAACCCACCGCACTCAATGGACACACATCGGATTCCCAGCGGTCCAAGTTCGTTGTGCAGGGACTCGACGTAGCTTGAGAGGGCAGCCTTGGAGGCGCTGTAGGTTCCCAGAAAAGGGAGCGAAGTCCAGGCGGCTGCTGATGAGGTGTATGCAAATCGTGACGGGGCGGCGGTTTTTGCTGCTCACAAGGGAGGCGGCGCGAGAACGGAGGAGTGGGAGCAACAGTCGAGTCAGCGTGAGAGGGGCAAAGAGGTTGGTTTGGAAGATACGGGTTGTGAAGGCTTCGCTGGTTCAAGTGAACAGGTCGAGTTAGCTAACTTGCAGGTGAGATGGCTCAGGGTGGAGCAGGGTGGTTGTCGTCGGAAGGGGATGACATACTCGGCTTCCTCTACACTCTTCATGGATGACATCCCGGCGTTGTTGAAGAGGACGTCAATGTGACCAAAGATGTTCCAGGATTCTTGAACCTTGCGCTTTAAAACTTCTTCGCTGGAGGTGGTGTCCAGCTCGAGCAGGGCGACAGTGTCGGATATGAGTTCGCCGAGGCGCTGCTCGACATTGCGGCCGGAGGCGATCACCTTGTCACCGCGAGAAATGATCTCATTTATAGTAGCGCGACCGATTCCGGAAGTTGCGCCAGTGACGAGCCAGACGAGGGGAACCATCTTCTTGTTTTGGGTGGTTGTGAGAAAGGTAAGCTGGAAGTTGGTAATGCTCTTTTCTTGGGCATTGCTGATGAGCATGATGAGGATAGCGGGTTTTCATGAGTCGAAACGATGAAGATCAGGCGACTTTATCCATCTCGGCTTCATGATCTTTTCCAAGCCGTTGCTGACATCCATCATCATAGCATCTTGGCTGCTTTCCTAAGCACCTGAGGAACATCATTTCCAAATATCGCGGTTTTCCTAGCCAAGATGTGATACAGCGGCCGCATGAGACGGGGCAAGTCTTCAATCTTGGTGCAAAGATGAAGTTGAAAGCTGGCGATTACTCAGGGCACGAGCTTTGATAAGCCTTCCAAAAGGACGTAACCACTTAGCGATGTGTAAGTCGCAGGCGTGCGGGCGGAGGGCCGCACCGCACCGTATCGTTCGGTCACATATGTTGGTGTTCACATGCGTGAGATGCGGACACGGCCGCGCCAAGAACTTCAGGGTCGGCGGTGCAGTGGGTGGTGGTGGATGGCGAGATGGATCTCTGAGCATGGGTAGGATACAACATGCTTACAAAGGCCGCTGACTGATCCAGATTTTGAGTCTAATCAGACTTCAGGAGACAGGCTGTAGCAGAAACAGCTCATCCCCTTGAAACCTCACTTTATACCTGTCGACCCTCAACCTCCATCCTTTTGTTCCAACACTAGGTCAGCAGCGACAGTGTGTACGACGGCTCAGATCCTTACATACATCCCCAACCAGCGCATGACAGAACCGCCTCTCCTCTCAATCCGTCTATAAACAGCTTTTATCCGGAAGCCTTATGGCACTTTTCTGAGGCGCGCTTTCTACAGCGCCCTCCACTTCAGCTGCTCTCAATATGGACAGCTCTGGCTTGAATGCGTACAACTCCATGCATCGCCGAGTGCATTTTCCCCAGCCCTTTCACTTAACTCTTTGCTTTCAAGCATTAGCTCGTGTTTCAAGGACTCTGACCGGAATTGACATTTCGAATGCAAGTGCAGGTTTCCCGCCGCTTTTTCAACCTAGTTCTCAAACGGGATGTTCCCCCTTTTAAGTGGTCCCCGAACAAGCAAGCGCCAAGACTCTTAAACATGTCAACAGAAGACCCCAAGACCTTGTCCAACACCCATCTTATATATGCATCAAAATAGCGTCCTTGATACAACCCGGCTTTTTTTCTCCGACTCGGCAACTACCCATGCTTGGTTCTATCGGCAAAGATATGGATACAAGCATCGCCTCGCGGAGTGCCGGAGTTCAGGAAACCCCCTTTCCCAGCAAAGCGAGATAACCAGACCGGCCCAGAGCCCCAGTTGTGGAAATTGCACGATACCGTTCGTTACCTACTGCTTTGGCGAACAACTGAAAAGGCGATTCCATACGACAGCCAAACGCAGCAAACATGGACTACACAACGAAGCTAGTAGGGTTGTACAATTGATCACTCGCCACCAGTGCTCCACGAGTCAGTTTTATTGGTAACATTTTTGAGTGGATAGGTGAGAGAAGGGTCTCCCCAAGGGGAGGTGAAGATCAAAAGAACCAGAACGTGCTCACGTGGTCCAACAACTCTCCAACCCCAACCAAGAGCACATCTCATATGAGCGAACCAGGGCCAAATATAAACCACATGAGATCTGGAGGAAATCATTGGTGAAATGGGTCTCGCATGTACCCCAGCCTACAGCCAATGTTGCCATTGGATAGAAGCGAACGGTTCGATGGCGGTGTGCAGGGGCGTGTGTTAGTTTCTAGCGGGAGAAGCCTCCTCCTCCTTCTCGGCTGGACAACCAAAGTGCTTCGAAATTCGAACCGGAACCCTGTGCTGGTCACCGGCTGGGTCGACACACCCCCTGATTATGAGCAAGGCCTGGAATAGCACGGAGAAGGGAGAAAAAAGAAAACTGACGACTCTAGTCTAGGCCTCCGATCATTACCGGTATATCCCGGATCGGCTGCGTGTATAAGAACCGTTGGGTCTGGGCTGTAAGTCCACAACAACAGCAAGGAACTCTCCACTGACTTTGACTTGGGACTTCAGCTTCCAGTCTCTCAAACTCATCATCATCACTCATCATACCTATCATCATCCACTTATACAAGTTTACGACTACCAAAGTTGAAATCCAATTATCAAACATGGCCCTCTCAACCGAAGCCAACATCACCGTCAACCCCCCCTACCACCTCCGCGATGGCGCCACCCCTTCCCACTTCACCCCCTCCAACCTGCCCTGGATCACCGGCACATGGCACACCACGCACTCAACCAACCCCGAAGAGCAATCCAGCAAGCGCAACGCGCGCATCTGCCTGTCCCTCATCCGCGGCAGCAACTCCGTCTCGTCCGACAGCGAAGGCTCCGACTCGGACATGGAGCCCGACAAGGACCGCATCCTCGCCGTGCGCTCGTACCAGGACCTCACATCTCCCGCGATCCAAGATGTTGGGCAGACCGATTTGTTTCTTGACGAGCTGGACCAGGGTTTCACGCAAGTGAACGGGCCCATCATGCGGCAGCGGTGGGAGATCCTTGCCTGGGGCAAGGAAGGGCAGCTGGAGGAGTGGATGAACGATGACGGATCGGGCTGGATTGTGGATAACACGGGAGAGGCCAGGCCGGATTGGAGGAATAGCTATGTGGTGGTGTACATCGGAAACGATCTGGGGAAGCTGAAGAACGTGGGCGAGGGCATGATTGAGATCTGGGATCGGTTCGGTCCTAGCGGTCCCCTCAGGGAGGAGACGGTGGAGAAGATCAGGGAGGCATTGAAGGGGCTGGGGGGCAAGGATGAGAGGTTTGCCAAGCTGGCGCAGAGGTTGGAGAGGATGAGGATGGATGAGGGGAGGAGCAGTGAGGATGATGCGAGGATAAGGGGGTACTAGATGATGTCTGGTATGGGCTGGGATTCGGGAGAGGGATGGGAGTTGGGAGTAAGGAAGCGACTGGAGCGAGGTCTAGGTCGACATGATGCGCAACAGAACGCTGCGCTGTTCGAGTTGATTCACGAAAGGATGGAACGAACTATTGACGGGCATTTGTAAGTTTGAAACGATGGATTAAGTTACCTACTAGAGGTAATAATGTGTAATAGTAATGCATTGGTTCGAACATCCTAAATATCATCTCGAGCTTAGTCTTCAGTTTCCTCCTCTTGAACTGTCGTGTCGAGTGTGCTTTCTTCGCAGTGGGAATCTTACCGTATCTGCCTCAATAGTGTAAGAGCGATCGTACTTGTGGCCGACAAATGGGATTGAATGGCTGGCATCAGATGTATCGAAGTATGAACCGCCAGAGCAATATCAACTTCGGAAAAAACAGAAGAGACAAAAAAAAAAGAAGACACATACACTGATTGAACCCATCACCTCCCTCCCTCAACTTATTACCTCATCTTACCTCTGAGCTTAGTACAAAAAGATACAAAAAGGAGTACTAACAACCGCTCCACCCATCGCTCAGAATCAACCACCAAAACACCTCAACGCTTTGCTTTTTTTTTCTTGCTATCTTTTTCTGTCTTTTTTTTCATTGTGGGTTTCTTCTTCTTCTTCTTCTTTCTTTTTCTTGTTTTACCTTCTTCTGTTGCTGCAGATACTTCAATTTTCAATGGCGCGATGTGGCAGTTTACGGGTGTGGAACGTTCCTGATTGACAGGTAGTTTGAGGTGTCAGGACAGTTGACCACTGCGCCATTGGGCCAAGCGGTTGTCAGTGAAAGCGACACCGATTGGGCAGGTTGTATACCCGTTGTGTGCCTGCCGTAATCTGGAGGAAGGGGCGGCGGCAGGTGCGGGTGCCTGGAAAGTGCCCGTGGTGTAAGACATGAGACGAAAGGGGCAGGCTCGAAAAACAGGTAGAACACCATGGGAAAGTGGAGGATCAGAACCGCGGAAGGAGTGATGGGAGACAGCCGACATGTGGCGGATCATACCTTCCATGTTTGCGACTACGGTCTGTATCCCCTTCCATATCTCTACCGGAATTGACTCAACTCCTCGGCCCAAAAGAACTAGGAATTTTCAGACTCAGTCTTTTGTGCTTTTGCCATCACATCACATTCGCACATCTCCCAAGCACACCAGACATCAAGGCACTTCCCCCAAGTCAAGCAATATCTTGAACATCACCATGCAGGCTCCCATTTTAGCAATCTTCTGGACGATTACTCTCGCCCGTGTCGTCCCCCTTCAGCACATTCACTTCATCACCAGTAACTACAATGCTGCCAAGGGTCATTTGCATTCATTCGACCCCCGGAGTGCTGATCAGTTCCAACGGAACATTAGCATTGTCGGTCTGTCTGCCTCTGCCTCCGCGAACCGGCCCTTCATCGAGTAAGTCCTCTATGGTCTTCCAATCCTTGGGAAGCGGCTTTTGCTGACCCTAATTGGAACACCAGCTACAACTTCAACCTGACTGCAGGCCCCTTTGCCCCTGCTGCCTATTGTCACGCCTCCATCTCCACCCCTGACGCGAAAAGCCTCCTCACCACGGACTGGATCCAGTGTGTCCTGCCTCCTCTAAACTCTACGGACACCAAGTCAGACGACGAGGCCACTCCAGCTTCCTACAGCCAATACCAAGGAGCGAGCAAAGTCCGGAGAGCCGACGACGCAAGCAGAAGTGAAGTAGCTCGTGCCTCAACGGCTTTCAGATGGACCCAGAACCCTGAAGGAAGCGCCACACTGGACGTCGACTCAAACATCACCGTTGCCAGGAATGGTGACGGCAACAGCAGAGGCGTCATCATCCGACAGCAAGCCATGTATGACATCCCAGCCGCAGATATTGTCGGCCAGGCGGAGTACCGTGGCCCACAGGAGGTGGACGCTCGGGTCCAGAGAATGGAAATTTGCGATGATGTTGATGGAACCAAGACTTGCAACGAGATTGGCAGTGTGGCATAGAATGCAATGGTAATACATCGCGAAGAGAGTACCGGGAAGTCTTGGCTATGGAAGGTCGTCCTTCTATCGAATATCCTCGATCCCCTGCTCAGTAGCGCTTCGGTGATCGTATTGGTGGTATTCAAGACGATAACACCAGGCCATCTGAAGCTCGTAGCAATTTCGCTCTTCTTGAGCGCAGTGGGAATGTCTTTTTTGTTTCGGTATACTGGTGATAAGGTTTTGTGGTTTGTGTATACACTACTAGTGTTATTCTGTGTTCGCTGGGACGGTTTCATAGTTTCTGTTTCTTTACACGGTTAAAACAGCGGAGTCTTCAACGACATCAACATACAGCAAAACTCTCCAATAGCAATCTTCCGCTCCCTTCTTGTAGTGTTTTCTCTGTTTATTTTCAACATGTAAACTGATCAGCATCTCAGTATAACTTTTACACAACAATTCAGCTACGTTCAACCTACCTCAAGACCGCACAATCCCCTCACGCCAAAACTCAAATCTCCCCCCCCCCCCGTCTCTTCAGCTTCCCCTCGAAACCGTAACCGTCTTCGTAATGGTAGTCCTCCACCTCTCCCTACAGCTCCAATTCGTTCTTGTCCCCCACCAGCCCGGCCCACCTCCATCACTGGGCCAGCCGCCCTCATCATCGCCACCACCATCACCACCACCACCCTCGTCACAGCTAGTAATGGTGCTCGTTGCTGTAGCCGTGGAGGTGCGAATGCTGGTGGTCGTGCTGATGCTGATACTCGTAACCGTCTGCGTTTGGGTTTGTGTCTGGGTGATTGTCCATATTGGTCGTCCACCTCCTCCTTCTCCTCCTCCTCCTCCTCCTCCTCCTCCTCCTCCTCCTCCTCCCCATCTTTGGGTGACGGTTGTTGTTAAGATTACGGTCACGGTGTTGGCTGGAGCAGTAGTAGTCGTGGTAGTGGTGATGACGCTACCTGGTGCTGTGGTTGTGGCTGTGGCTGTGGCTGTGATGGTCTTGGTGACGGTGACTGTTGTCGGAGGGACAGGGACACCGGGGAGTAACGAGGTTTGAGTTTGGGCTTGGGTTTTCGTGGTCGTCGCAGTGGCTGTGACTGTGGCCGTGATCTGGGCGGTGTTGGTTCTTGTTGTAGTTGTAACGAGGGTATTCGAAGATGTTGCCGTCGAGGTGATCAATGTAACGAGCGTGATAACAGTGGTCAGTGTCCTCGTCAACGTTTGTACAGGTCCCGTCTGTGGTAATGATGATATCCCTGAACCTGGACCTAAACCTGGGCCCGAACAGAGACCGTATAGCGGGTTACATCCAGCGCCGCAGTGGTTGAGCGTAGAGCCGCACCAGCCCGAGGCGGAACAGCAGTCGCCGTAGGAAGAGCGGTGGCATGTTATGCCTTCGGAGCAGCGGCCGTCGGGACTAACTTCGAGACTTTGGGCTTTGACTATGTTTGGTAATAGTATGAACAAAAGGAGAGACGGAATGGACGTTGTCGCAAAGAGGAGGGGAAAGGCAAACGGGGAGGAGCTGAAGAGCCTCATTTTGATTCAGTGCTTAAGGGTGCGGCCTGTCAATATTGAAGACATTATGGCATGGGCTGCTGATGATATAGACGTCTTTTAAGTAGCTTCTTGTCGGGAAATTTCCGCGGGACTCAACCATGCTGGTGGAACAGTCGCCGCAAAAGAATTGCCGAAGGACATCTTCTCGAAAGAGGGTGATTATCCAAGGTATGGGCCTCAGCTCGCCAGCTTCATCAAGGGTCGACTGAGTAATCTTCCTTGATTCCCCTTCCTGGAAGTTAATTCATTTCTGTCCAACTCGTGCCATCGGCTGAACAGCCGAGGCAACAAATGAAGAAAGAGGGGACATATAGAGAATGTCTTTATCCGTGCTTCCCCCCAATACCCATGAGCCGGGCGACCGGATTATATAACAGAGGGAGAGAGCCTCAAAACTCGAAGTTCGCTGACCACCATCTTGGATAATACTTTTTCGGCTAAAAAAGCTAGTATTCGACTGCATGCTATGCAAGAATCCAAGAATAGGAGTACTGTAGATGCGTGGATTAGCTGGGGACTCGACTGAATAAGGAGTGCTGGGAAAAGGGTTGATACCAGACCATCAGCTTGTCCTTTGAGAAGAGCCAATTGGCAAGATAGAGTACCAAACACTGCTCACACATTGGTCAGTCCATGCGAAGCTTTGTGACCAAACACTGCTCACACTAGTTTGGTCACGTCCATGACGAAGTCTTTGTTCGTTTTTCCTTTTTCTTTTTTTTTTTTTTTTTTTTTTTTCTCCCTCTCTCCTTCGTACATCGTCTCCGGCTAATCTGTGTAGAGATTTCGGTCTGCGTCATCCACCTGGCATCATATCGGCAGCCACCTTCCCAACATGAATTTGAGATTTAGGGTGTCTTTCGTAATATATATTGACTGGTGACGCCATGGAGGATCTCCATGAGCACTCCTTCCAGTCAAGTGAACGGTTCCGGCGCCGCAGAAAACAGTCGTGCCTTCTTCCATTTTGACAACAGTGCAGAAGTTGAATGGGAAAGGAAGGTGCAAAGACATGGGCAGCGACGGCCGGGGACGGCAGGAGCGGTAGCAGAGCCTAGTCAAATTGGAGGATCTGTTCGTCCGACACCGAGGTGATGATTGACGCCGCAACGGTCGCAGTCAGTGGAAGGTTGACTTACATACCTCTATCGACAACCAACCAACACTTCATCGGATCACCGGGAGATGAACTGGGAGAACCCCCTTCAAAAGCCAAATGCACCATTGCATTGTCAATCCTGCATTCAATACGCCACCCAGTCCCCTTTTTTCTTTGTTTCTCCCGTTGCATCGGAATAGCTTCACGACTACTCAACGGTGACATTCCCGATCAAGGTACCGACTCCGGCAAGAAACGGGTTGTTTCAGTGGGTCATGCACCCGTTCGACAATACACGCTTAGGGCTGCACCGGGGAATATACCGCGGAACGCACCCGGTCTCGCCGGTCATGCCTTGTGCCGTTAGCTTGAGATTGTTATGGTCGGCCAAGTCGTTCACCGTCCTACCCCATCAATTAGTCTAATGGCTTTTCGAATCGACAAATATTTGACAGAAACAGCAACAGTGGTAAAGGCGGTCAGAATGAGATTCCCACACCAGTTCCCCCTCACTCAATGAATTCCATAGGATTCACGCCAAGTCTCTCTCGCTTTGGGCATTTTTGAATCGAAAATCTTCCAGTCATCGAACACGCTAGACACTCCAGGCTCCTCTTGTGGTTCTATCAAGACCCCCCTTAGCTTGATGCACAATTTTGGCGGTGACTTCGAACAATTTATCACATCTTTCAAGCTCCTTTCTCCTAAGGGGTTCTACCCAAACACTACAGCTGGAACGACCTGCTACGATGACGACAGCAACGGAGCCCCAAGTTGGGTCGTCCATATCAGTGTCTGTACTAGAGCACCTACAAGAGCCATTCCAGCAGCATATAATACCAGTAAGCAATCCAATGATGTGAATACATACAATATGTACAACATCCAGGTGCTAAGATCAAGGTCGAGAATAATAATATCGGTCCTATTTTTGAGGTCGATAATATCGACGAAAGATCTGACCCTGGGTTCGAAGATGGCGAGTATGCACCACCGTCTGACTTTTACATCTGAACGTTGAAGTTGATCAAATGTTAGCTATCGCTCGATCACTGCCTCTTTGAACAGAGCGATTCAAGAATACCGTCAGATAAACGGCCGGTCGTATCACAACTATGATGGTGCCTATTACTGGTACAACCGTTCTCCTCAGCGTAATAAGACATACGGGAACTAACACACTTTCAAGGGCACCGAACGACGACACACAAAATGAATACTTGGATATGGCGTATGTTCCTCTTCATGATACTGGCCGCAGTACCTCCATCCAGCTTGGCTCTAACCCGCTTTTAGTCACCATATGATGTGTCTCGCTTACGACAATCAGCTGTTTCTTGCGCCCTTAGAAAACCCCCAAAGAGTGTTGGACGTCGGATGCGGGACTGGCATCTGGTGCCTGTGTGTTATTCCTTTTCGTTTCTCGGTTGCCTTCGCTGTTTGATACTGACAAACCTCAACTTATCAGTGATTTTGCAGAGCAGTTCCCGGGCGCCCAAGTCACCGGCACTGACATCTCCCCGATTCAACCACGCTGGGTCAGCCCTAACTGTAGATTCGAAATTGACAACTGTGAACTCGAATGGACCTTTGCAGAAAACGAGTTTGACTACATACACATCGGCTCGCTCATCGGCTCCATCCAAGATTGGCCAAAACTCTACAAGGAGATTATTCGCGCTCTGAAGCCTGGGGGGTGGTTTGAACAGCGAGAGGTTGCGCTTCCTGTCCGTGCTAACGAGGGTGAATTACCTGAGGATTGCGTCTATCATGATTGGGCCAGCATATTCTACGAGACCGGAGAGGCAACAGGTCGTACGTGGAGAATCACGGAACAGTGGAAAGGATGGCTGCGAGATGCTGGCTTTACGGAGAAAATCCACACTCACCAGGTCAAGTTACCCATTGGAGGCTGGCCGAAGAACAAGCTTCAAAAGGAGATCGGGCTGTTCAACCTTCTTTCAATCGAGACTGGTCTAGAAGGATTTGCTACTTACATTTGTAAGATGGTTTTGGGGTGGCATGATGCTGAGATCCAGCTCTTATTAGAGAGGATGAGGGCGGCTGTCAAGAACCCCCAGTTGCATGCTTATTTTCCTCTGTAAGTACTGATGAAACGATTTGAAACACCGCCGACAAGTTAACTCATAATCTTTTACAGGAAGTCAGTCTGGACGCAGAAGCCATATGCTTAGGCAGAAAGATATCAGTCTGTTTCCGAGTGGTCCCAAAATGAAACAAGTGGTATGTGTACCTTGACTTCAACCTCCGTGATAGCGTGAGAGGCGCCCAAACGAGACATTTGTCAAAACACATTTCCCACAATATTCGCGAATCGTCAGCCACATACCAGCCAAGGCGATAGTCTTACCCTCCCAAGAAAGAGTCTCCGAAAACCACAGGCGCGAGTGATCACGATGCCTTAAATCAACTCAAACCCCAACAAACTCCCAAACCGTCCCGTCCACCGAATCCATCGCCACAAGAGCGCCTCCCTGCTGCTCCAAGAACTTGATCTTATACAACCTTTCCCAATGCGTCACCATCAAATACCACCCCTTTCCTTCCGGCCCACCAGGCGCCGGCCTCACAGCAATCCACTCCCACCCGTTATGCTTGTACACCCTCGCAATAATATTCTGCCACATATCGTGGCCCAAAAAGGTTCCCGAAGCCGCGTTGCGGAACCCTAACCACCCAGCGGTCTCGACGCAGTGCCAGTGCCAGTTACATTGGCCTTTTGCGACACATGGAGGCACGCTGATATCAGAAGAGGAGGTATTAGAGTTGGAATTGGAATTGGAGTTGTCAGTAATACTGATCAAATCCGGATCCGGAACGTGAACGAGCCGCAAGTTCCCGTCTATCAAAGTCAGCGCTCGGCCGGTGGAGGCTTCGAGAAGGATAAACGTTTGGCCTGGGAGGGGGGCGGCGTGGCGGGTGTAGCGCGAGGATGGTGGTCTTGACTTTTGAGTTCCGCCGGAGGGAGATGATGGAGCACTTTCGTAATTTGACGCCGCTGGTGTGGGCGTCGAAGATCGCGTGACACTCGCTATGTCTGTGGGCGCGGGGGTAAGAATGGTTAACGGTGGGAATTCGTGGTCGGTGTCACCGTCGGCTTCGTGAGCCTGGGAAGCGCTGGGGGTGCTGATAGTCGTCGAGGGACTGAGAGATCGGGATGGAAGGCTTCCGTTAAGCCTAGCTCCTCCTCTTCCTTCTCCTCCTCCTTCCCCAGTCATATTTGTACTCGTGCCCATCTGGCTGGTATGTAACCGCAAGTTCCCAGCGCTCAAGCTCAAGATATTACTGGCGGTCGTCGTCGTCCCATTTTCGTCTCTGTCTCGGTTTCGGTTTTCGATAATTTGCCGCTCAATCTGATCGCGATACAAGCTTCTCCATTGCGCTAGAGACTCGTCAATCTGTTCATCGGGTTGCAGGACCGAGTTGATAGTATGAAGATCGCCTCCTCCTTCAACGGTATCGGCATCTGATGATGAGACGGTGGGAGTGAGAAAGCTGCTGGTACTCAAACTGGTGGTGCTTTCGGTGAGGGAGGAGTAAGGGATGCTGATGTCTGATTGGGCGTCGTCATTATCGTCTTCGTTGTTCATGTTCTCAGAGGTGTTGGAGTTATTCATGTTGTTGGAGTTGGCGTTCTGACCGGCGGGAATGTGTTCGCGGTTTGTTGGTGGTGGTGGGTTTGAGATCATGTTGGACTGACGTAGGACTCTCTCTCTGGGGTGGGTATTATGAGTGTGAATATGTAACCCAAGTTGTTGTTGTTTGGATTGAGCTGAGATTCATTTCCCACGTGTAATGCTAGAGGAAGTGAAATGATTGAGGTTCCGGTTCTAGTGTAGTGCAAAAGCTACGATGACGAGCAGGTCAGGTTGATATATGAGTCCTACCAATATCCGCATTCATTAGACGTCGATCCTACGATCCTTGTCCAAGGCGGGTTGGGCTTTAGTGGTACGGATACGGGCCCAAACAGCTTTCTTAGGCCGACTGGCTGCTACACCTTTTCTGCATGTAAGTAATCGCTGGAAATTCGGGATTGGTCACTGACTAGGTGTGGGCCGGGCGGCGGCGGTTAATAGAGGGGCGGAGTTCAAGCGACCTGGGAATACGTGATGCAAAAACCTAGGCCTAAAAAGTGACGCGGGAAATGTGAATTGACTTGGAAGATAATCATGATCCTTTGTTGATAGGATTATCTGGTGTTGTTGGTCGCGAATGCAGATGTGGTTTGTACTTTGTAGATATATTGGTCGTAGAACCGCTTGGTGTTGAACACTTAACACGACCTTCCATTTTACTGACCATTTTCTGTTAGTGCACTAACTCTCACCAACCCTTTTACATACTAGTTGATGGGTCCGAATCTTGCCAAAAGCCGTCTTTTTCTTTCACTTCTGTTTTAAGTCGCGCCGCACCCGTCTTAACGCCAAAACTTCCCTTGTCACTACGTTCCTCCTACTTCCATGACACCTTTCACGACTACCTTCGTAGGCATAGGTAGAGGCATGGTGGCATGGCCGGAACGGCGCCGTCACACTTAACGTTCGTTTGAAGTCTCTGTATACTTCGTCTCCCTACAACCGCCAGGTCCACACGTTAACCCGAAATCCAGGGCGGCCAATCCGATCGGCCTGTATTCGTTGGTTTCCAAAGTTCCAATAAAAAAAGATAAAAATAACAAACGAGAGCAAAAGCCACACCTAGTCTGCGGCCAATCCCGAATTTACACGTACATGCAGTTAGTTCGGTGCAGCAGCCGCCCTGAGAAGCTGTTTGGCCCAAAGCCCAACCCCCGCCTTAGACAAGGATCGACGTCCATATGGTGGGTGTTTGTTATATACACAATCCTACCTTAAACCCAAGCTCCAATTCTTCGTCGGTTAAGCACAACATTTAACGACAAATCGATGCACAATCTCGTCAAGTCATCCACTTAGGATAACAGCCTACCTACAACCCGGATAATTATCCAGAAAGCTGCAACATGACCTTAAAACCTCCACAACGCCAACTCCGACAACGGCAACGATGATGCCCAATCAGACATCAGCATTCCCTATTCCTCACGCACCGAAAGGACCACCACCAGCACCAACAGCGACTGTCTAACTCCGACATCATCAGATGCCCGTACCGTTGCCACTGAAGGGGTAAACCTACAGACCAGCAACTCGGTGCGACATGGAATGGACTCTTCTTATCATCGTCATGAACATGTTGATGATTCTCTGGCTCAATGGATATCTTTGTACCGCGATGAGATTGAACGGCAGATTATCACCAACCGGAATCGAGACCAAGCTAGTACGATGAGGGCTAGCAACACCTTGAGCGCGGGAAACCTGAAAATGCATACCAGCCAGACGAGTGAGACCTTGGCTGGTGAGAAAGGAGGAGGAGAAGGAGGAGGAGGAGGAGGAGGAGGAGGAGGAGGAGGAGGAGGAGGAGGAGTCAAACTCGACAGCAGCGAACGTATAAGAGAAAAGGGAAAAGGAAGAGAAGAAGAATCAAAGTCTTCGCTTCCTCAGAGCCCAAGCGACTCCTCCTCATCTACCTCTCCCACATTCAAGAAGCTCGTCTGCCATATCTTAATTTTTGTCGGCCTTCTTCTCGCCTTTTTCGCTTATTTACGCTTTCTATCATCATCTCCCAGTAGGTCCTCCGTCGATTCCCACCCTCATAACGCCGATGAGGTACATGACCACGAATTCCCGCCGTTAACCATCCTTTCCCCAGTGCCAACAGCCACCCACACCCGCTTATCAACGTCCACGCCCGTAAACGAGAGTGCTCCCTCATCGCCTCATGGGGCACAAAATTCGAACCCCAAGCCGTCACCTCCCTCACGCTACACCCGCTACGCAACCCCACTTCCCGACCAAACCTTTATCCTCCTCGAATCCTCCACCGGTCGAGCTTTGACTTTAACCGACGGGAAGCTGGGTCTGGCTCACGTACCGGATTCGGATCTTATCAGCATCAGCGACAAACCCGACCGAGCCGTAGTAGCTGTGCCTCCATGTGTAACCAAAGGCCAATGTGCCTGGTACTGGCACTGCATCGAGACCTCTGGGTGGCTCGGCTTCCGCAACAAAGCCTCGGGAACCTTTTTGGAGCATGATATCGGGGGCAGGAAAATCTTTGCGACGGCGTACAAGCATAACGAGTGGGAGTGGATGGCTGTAAGGCCGGCGCCGGGCGAGAAAGAAGGGTGGTATCTGATGATGCAGCATTGGTGGAAGTTACACAAGATTCAGTTCTTGAAGGATCGGAGGGAGTTCGCAATGAGAGAGACGAGAGGTTTGCAGGAGGTGGAGGGGACAGTTTGGGAGTTTATTAGGGCTTGATAGAGAGAAAAATGTTAAATGCTTGAAAGGGGAAGGAAGGGGTGGATGGTTCAGACTTCAGGCATGTTCGGCTCTCAGATGAGCTCGGTTGCTGGATATGCACACCGTAGTTTTCACCCCTCTTATTTGTCCAAGGCGCTAACATCTCCATGATTTTGTTTTATCAGACATTAAACGCTCAGGTTTACCCGAAAACTTTGCTTCATCAGTGTCCTCACTTGATGACATGCAGATGTTGTCAAGGGGTGACGGATGCACGATGTGGAATATTGGTTTATTCAACACATATCTACAAGTGGCTTAACAGGGCTCTACCTTTTTCTTCACTCATCGCTCCTCTCAACCCCTTCCGTCTCCTTAATCCGATAAACATACTTCATAGCACTCGCCTTTCCATCCCTCAACCTCTCCAAACCCTCTTGCACGCCCGCCAGTCCTCCGGGCAACACCTCGGTCCTCTGCCCCTTAAACCACCCCTTCTGCAAGCCCCTCGCAATATACCTATACCACACATACCCAAAGTCCTTCTCATCCTGGTGCACGCTACCAACCATAGTCATGCTCTGGTCCACATAGTCCGGCACGCCCATCTTGCCAAACAGCACAAACGTCGCTTTGGCCCTCACCTCCTTATCCCCCTTCTTCACCGGCTGGCTCAGCACCTGCGCGAGGTGCTCCGGCGTTCCCTTCTCCGACACCGCGTCAAAAGCGTGCAGCAGCGGCCTGCCGTTCAACGCCTTCTTGATGCCCTCCACAACCGCCTTTTCACCCTCGCGGTAATCAAGCAGCACATCGCCCTTGGCCTGGTCCAAAAGCGGCGCGATCCGCTCGCTGCCCGCCCGCCCGGCGATGCAAATCAGCGGGTGGATGTTACTCCTCTTCGCCATCTGCAGAGCGTAATACCCCACGGCGCTCGACGCGCCGTAGATAACTAGCGGGGTGTTCTCGCGCTCCTCGTCGCTCACGGACTTGGCCCACGGCTCCGGCAGTCCCAGACGGGAGAACAAGCCAACGGCGGCAGTCATGGCAGCCAGCGGCAGCGCCGCGGCCTCCTCGAAGGTGGTTTCCTTGGGGATGTGGAAGGTCGTGTGTTGCCAGGCGACGGCGTACTCAGCCCAGGAGCCGTGGGGCGCCTGCATCTCGTGGAAGGCGGCGACGCGGTCGCCGGGCTTGAACTCCCATACGTTGGAGCCGACGGCTTCGACGATACCGGCGATGTCGTCGCCTTGGTTGAGGGGTGGCTTGTCGGGCATCAGGCCGGGGAGCTTCCAGTCCTTTGGGTTACACCCGGAGACGACGACGCGGATGAGGACTTGGTCGTCGTTGGGGGTGGGCTTGGGGGAGTCGATGATTTGGACTTTGGGTCCTGAAAGGGGGGGGGAGGGGGGGGAAGAGCGTTAGGTTAGTTGGTTTGTTCCATTGGAGGGGTTTGATTGTTGAAGAGCTGAGAGGCTTACCGTCTCCTACGATAGCTTCCTTCATTTTGACTGATGTGTGTTTAAACTGTGTGTCTCTTTGTTCGTGGTTTGCGTAGTTTGAGCTTAGTCAGGTGAATGAGCAAGTCTGTAGTGGTGGTTAAGGAAGACGCTTCGTAGGAGGTAGGTAATGATATTTCGACAGTGATCGGGGTCGTATAAGAAGCCGAGCCATCAAGGTGGGCGGTGGTCACTTTGATTTATAATGTACCCCCGAAACCCAAGAAAACGGCTAAACATGGGGACTTTCAATAGCGTCATCGAAGGCAAGGGAACATCCGATCCCCAACATGTCGCGGGCGGGACGAACGAGGCAAGAGGGGAGAGGGGTGGTGCCTAGCAGTTGGGGGAGATTTGTAACCCATTCAACAACAACCACACCGTGGAAAACTCGGCGATCGGTTGATGACCAATTCATCTTTGCGAGTTTGGGTAGCGTGGAACTGGGAACCCACGTTCTCTGCTGGATTTAATGGATTTAATGGATTTAAACCGGGATGCCATGTGTTGGGTTTAAAAGAAGTCTCCGAACTGTGTATTTCATGGGAAAGGCAGCCAATTCCATGCGCCGGAACCATTTCCGGTTTGCCGCCGACTCCCGACACCCCGGAATCCCGAATATGTTTCTTTCGATGCTGTCATTGGCTTCCTTGGCATCAAAGGGACTACCCCCATTCAAAAGGTCCTTTGCCCCACACCGAATTGGAGGTTCATCCCATCACAACCAGGGACACTTGCCGAAAAGAATAAGAAGGGAGCTCTTTTCAAACTTGATCATCATGCAACTTCTTCTCTCCTTCCGTTGTTATGGAGGAAACCCTAAAATACTTATGGTGCTTACCCCACCGGAAGCTCCCGAACCCGAAGGGATATATATGTACGACGGTGCAACGCCGAGGTTGCATTAGTAGACACTTCTTTCGGTATCTTCTTCCGTCTGATGCACCCCTAATTTCGACAACATCAAGGGGTTCGCAATGGTCTGGTCTGGGTCTGACGCTATGGGCATCAGACATGGACGATGAGGCCGATTGGTAAGATTCCGATAGGTGAAAGACTCACTGTATCAAGGGGATAAGAGTTGAGTTTCTCATTGAAGCGGCTATAAGATAGGGCTGGACGACTTTGGTAGTGGAGGAAGGATAGTACCTATAGTACTAGGGACGTGAATATCACTAATGCATGCGACACAATACAACACTCAAACAGTGTTCAGCTCCAAAATATTAACATGCATTCATAGGCGAGTCCCTATACTAAGCAATGCAAGCACCAAACCCTCCTATCATCTCTCTCACGTCACCTACGGACAATATATATCATCTCCAGACCTCCTAATTCTCAAGCACCACCCGACTGAGGTGCTTACTTACTGAGAAACATCAGTCCCAGCAAAGCCCAAGAGCTCATTCCACTTCTCCGCAGTAGCAGCGTCCCTCGTTCCCAGAGCCTGGATCTGGACCTTGGCGTCCAAGCAGGCCGTCTTGGCCGCTGCGTTGGCCTGGCAGACGTTGGTCAGCTGGTCGCAGATGCGGTTGGTGATGATGTTGGGGTTGAGCGCCTCCTGCTGGCCCTTGGCAACGAGCGCGTCCTTGGCCTGGAAGGTGAATTCGGTGGCCTTGCGGTTGGCGCGGCCGCCGACGAAGCTCATGGTGGGCACGCAGAGACCGAAGTCAGCGCCGGCGAGGGTGGACTTTTGGACGCCGTTGTTTCCGGTGTTGGCATTGCCGTTGCCGTT